GAGAATTTTTTTTTTTTACTTCTTCCTTATTTTCCTCGACCTCTTTTCGGATTATTTGAATTTGTTTCCATATCATTCTTCTGAATTCCCTCTCAGGCATATCCAAAACCCACTCCTCCTCCTCTATAAAGCCTTTGTCTGTCTCCAGTTCATTTGCGTCCTCTATAAAGCCTTTGTCTGTCTCCAGTTCATTTGGGTCAGCTCCCCTCTTCTGTTTTTGGACATGCTTTGATAAAGTTGATTCTTTCTTATTGGTCATGGTTATTGTTTTATTATTATTATTATATTATTAATATGATCAGGAGATATACAGATTTTCGTCTATAATGCGTAGCAAATGTTGTTGGGTCTTGTCTTCGTGGTGGAGTATTATGTTGTAGCTTGGCTATATGGCCACGATTGCTATGTCTTCTTATGGGACGTAGGGAGGATAAGTTCCCACCTCCAGGAAGGATGTTTAGTCAAAAAGACTAAAAGCAGAAGTAATATAAATGCATGGACAGAAATCACCACATTGGAGCAGATATGTGGCTTTGGTTAACTTTTTCTGTTACCTGTCCCCACCGACTTTCTCACACTCTCCATGAGTGGGTGAGCTGCACCCGGCCGATTTTTATTAGGATCTCAAGCCAGGGCAGGGAGACTTGGGGTGGGAGGAAGCTATATCACCTTTTGCCCTTCTGGGAGATGTCGCTTTCCGAACAGGTCGGCCCTGGCCCCGCCCTCTAAACTCTGCAGTCGCAGGAGCGACCTGCGGTCCCCACAAGAAAGAGTCCCAAAATACGCACTTTTCTTTATCCTTATTAGCACAGTTTCTCAAAAATGTGAGTTCAGGAGAGTTTATGATAGTTTAAAAGCCGTGGGACTGGTCTATAAACGTTTCCTTTTTGAGATCCCACTCGTTTTTCTCCTGGAGCATGTCCCTACCTTTCCTGGCTGCCCTGCCATACTGGAAGTCTCCTCGCACATCCCCATGAGATGACTTTTGTGATAAAATGTGTACCCAATTTTTCATCTTCAATAGGACCAATATGTTGTTGTTATTAAGTGCCATTGAGATGGTTCTGACCCATAGTAAAACTGCATAGGGTTTCTGAGTGTGTTTGAACCACC